ATATATATATATAGAGAGAGAGAGAGAGAGAGAGAGAGAGAGAGAGAGAGAGAGAGATCTATAGATAGATAGATAGATAGATAGATAGATAGATAGATAGATAGATGTTGGACATGATACTAGAGACAAATTAAGAGAAAAACTCAGTTTATTTGGGTCATATAAAATTTGACAAAGTTCTCTTGTTCATGGGAATCATTTGTGCCCAGTTTTATGCCCATGCACATTACTAAGTGTATGCTGGCTTCGCTGGGCTTTGTCAGTGCTGCACCTTCATAGCGTGTTGCTTATTTGTTGGCGTCATACAGTTACTATTTTTAAAAATGAAAAGTTAGGTTGGCTCTTGCTCTTGTTGACATTTGTGACCAAGGAAAAAGCAACTTAAAAAATATATGGATGTACCCATTAGGAAAAATATCAACAAAAATATGGAAAAATTAGTGTGGATGGGGATATGGAGAAATTGAAATCCTGTGCATTGCTAATGGGACTTTTAAATGGTACAACCATTGTAAAAAAAACAGTATGGCAGCCTCTCAAAAAGTTGAATGGAAATACCATATAACCCAGCAATTCCACTGCTACATATATATCCAAAAGAATTAAAAGCAGAAACAGAGCCCTGGACAGTGTTTCTTCATGGTTAGAGCATCAGCCCTTGAACCGAAGGGTCTCAGGTTTGATTCCTGGTCAAGGGCACATACCAGGGTTGCAGGTTCCATTCCTGGCCCCAGTGGAAGTGAGTGCAGGAGCCAACCAATCCATGTGTCTCTCTCACATGAATGTTTCTCTCTCTTTCTCTCTCTCTTCCCTCCTCCCTTCCTCCCTTCTACTCTCTCTCTTAAAAAAAATCAATGGAAAAAATATCCTTGGGTGAAGGTTAACAACAAAAAAAAGCAGAAACAGATATTTGTACACCAATGTTCATAGCAGCATTACACGCCATAGCCAAAAGGTGAAAACAACCCAAATGTCTATCAAAAGATGAATGGATAAATAATATGTGGTATATACATACCATAGAATATTACTCAATCTTTTTTAAAAAGGAAGGAAATTCTGTTATAATGCTACAACGTGGATGAACCTTGAATAGATTACACTAAGTGAAATAAGCCAGGCATTCAAGGACAAATGTTGTATGATTCTACTTACATGAGGTAACTAGAACAGGCAAATTCATACAGACGGAAATTAGAATGCTGGTTACCAGGGGCTAAGGGGAGGGAGAAGGGGGAGTGATTGTTGAATGGATACAGAATTTATTTTGGGGGATGATGAAAAATGCTGGAGCTGATAGTGATGATGATTGCACAATGAGAACGTACATAATACCACTGAATTCCACACTTAAAGGTGGTTAGAACTGTGAATTTTAAACTGTGTAAATTTTGTCACAGTTTTCAGAAACTTTATACTATGTATATGGAATACATTTGTGTGATATGGTGATTGCAAGGATTCTCAATTTCTCCTTAATTGTTTCAGTATAATAGCTGGCAACCTGACAATGAGGGAACCGTCCCAAGCTGGCCAACTTCAGTTCCTCTCTGGGGACCTGCATTTGGAAAGATCTTAAAGGGACACAATTTGTAATTCCTTCTCTTCAGTGTCCAAAACCCTACCAACAGGGTTGGCAAACTGTGGAACTAGGCCACTCTCCCTCCAGCGTCTGGGACTCCCTGGCAGGCCCTGCACTGAAAACAACCCCACCCTGTAGTCCTGTCCTGAGCTCTGTGTCCTGTCCCCAAAAATGACCTGCAGGGCCCCTCAGGACCCAGGTAGGTAACCAGGACTGATTCAATACACTGTGTTGTGGATTTAATAGCTTAACAGGCTGCCTCTCCCAGAAAACGTATTTGCATTTCCACTGGGCTTTCTGAAGACGAGAGTTCACACCGAAGAAGCAAAGGGAAATCCACTCTCTCAACAAATATTTGTTTCTTATGGGACACAGAACTGCGGAATTCTTTCCTTCCAAGGGGGCGCAGGTTGCATGTTGCAGGCGACTGGTTTAAGCTTGGTTTAACCTGTCCCAGTGGAAAGAACAGACGCTGGTCAGCTGCAGAGAGCCAAAGGCACCTCTCTGTTTTGTGCCCGTCTCGGCCCATAGATAGTGATGCTATGGGATAGAAATGTCTGGGCCACTCTACCTGGGCCTGGGTCTCCCTTTCAGAACCAGAGTTGTGGCAGGACCAGCTTATGATTGCAGGACACCCTCAGCAACAACCATTAGGAACCTTTGAAAGACAAGGGTTATTACTCACAAGTCCTAAAAGGTACAGAGCAAATACAGGGAGGTCACAATGAGGGTGGGGGCGGGGCAGGGGGATGGGTTCTGCTGTTATTGGGATTAAGGGTGAGAGCCTAGGGTTACACAAGTTCACTCCTAGTTGATGAATTTCAAACTGAAGAGCTGGCTTTTAAAGCCTAGGAAGCAAAAGGAGGGACAGTGACCGACAGATCAGTTTCTCTCTCATCGATGTTTCTCTCTCTCTCCATAAAATAATAATAATAAATAAAAAATATTTAAAAAAATAAATCAACCAAAGATCTCCAAAACAAAGGAGCTGAGGATGGGAAGAGGGGTGAGGTCGGCCTGGCTTTTATGCTCAGGACGATGTATTTATTGGGGGTTGGTTTTTATCTAGGTGGGTGGGCAA